TTCTTTCATAGATTTACATGTTAATTGCATCGGCCGCTTCCGTGTTTTGTAGCTCTGTGTTCATATTTGTTTCCCCTCCATCGTACATACTGTTTCTTTCTGCCCTACAAATCCAGTTCGATAAGCTCGCACCTTCACCTAGGCTCACGCCCTGTCCTAAGCTCCCATACAACGCACCTAAACACGAAAGTAATTGTGACCAATGGAAAACGTTTATTTTTAGCCAGTCAGTTTTTCTGGTGATTACGCGGATGTTTGTTGCGCTGGCGAGGTTTCCAGCGACGACGGCGGCGATTAATGCGCTCCTGGACAACACGCCGCGGCGGTTGTGGGGGCCCCATAGCGGCGGCAACTAAGGCCAGGCTTTGTTGGCGCGAATGAGTGGCTGGCTTCGGTTCTGGTGTGCGTGGGCGGTGCCAAAACGCCTGGCTGTATGGACCAGAGGCGCACGCGATGCACCTGCGGGCACCCGCTCGAGCCTGGCCCTGTGCGAATGCATCCCATGCTAAGAATTGTTCGCAACAGGCGCACAGCCGGAGCTGCAGCCCGAGACCGTCTGGCTCGAGCGGGGGGTGCACAATGACCGCCTGGCACGTCGAGCACATGGGAGGTAAACGTTCCATTGGAGAAATGTTTTATTAGAAACGTTTTTATTAAATTAGTAATATTATTTTTTAAGTATTAAACTAAGTATTTCGAAGTGTTGAATTACTACTTTGCTAAAATGCGATCCAGTGGTGTCGCCAGGGTCTAAAAAAAAGCAACAGCGCCTACGACGATATAATAGTACCGGTGTGCACGTCGGCGAAGCCTACCAATGCAAATTAACCCGCACACACGCAGCGCCCTTTGCGTGAGGTGGCGCTCCAGCGTTAAAAATGGGGGCAAAATGAAATTTGAACGGTGCTTTTAAGTACGATGTGTTGACCACATACAGTGTGTACACCACATTACTGCAATTTTAGCGAATCGAGGCCGCCTTCGCTGCGCTCGGCAGCCAGTAGAACGCGCGTATTAGCGTGAGTTTTATTAGCCCTAGCCCGTTACGGACGGAATGACGGACGCAGACCACACTCCACTAGGGGGGTAAGATAAGTGACTGAGGGAAATGGTGTTGCAAGGCGAGACCTTCAACACTACGTCCTAATTCGTAAGTGATGAAGAGCTTGCAACGCTTCTGCTCAGAAACGATCTCAATGGGACGTTGTACGTTAGTTCTAACGTCATTATGCCATCCTTGCGTTACCTGGAATACACAGGAAGTTCCTACTTCTGCCTAGTAATGGATGCTCTACGGACTGAAGAAGATCTGGACGAGGAGGTAGCAGATGCGCAACCGCGTGCCAATATCGGTTCGGTCAGAAAGACCCAGAAGGGTAATCAGAAGAAGCCGAGCGGTAATGACAAAAATCGAAATGCGGGGAGACGCAAGAAGCAAAGAGGCTGGGGGTCATACAAGTCCAAAACGCAAAATCATGAGCAGAATCCAGCGGTGATAAGGTTCCTGGATGTTGTACTTGTGGTGAGCTTGGACACATACAGGCATATTTCCCTTAAAATAAGCCGGCAGGAGGTTACCAAGGTTGAAAGCAGTATGATACGTCTGATTTTAAGCGGTGGTAGAACAAGAAGAAAGGTGAAGACGGCGACGCAAACAAGGTCATAGCTGCGCTGACCCAGCGGAAATGCAGTGCCACCGACGTCAGTATACGACATCGAAAACGTGCAAATACGGAGTGGATGTTGGATACAGCTACAGATGTACACGTGTGTACAGATCTGAGTTTGTTAACCAATAAAAAAGGCGACAAGAACTTCTGACTATGCACGGGATGGGGTATCACTCCCGGACAATAATCGATACAGATCCGATACAATTACTGTTTGAAGAGATATTTTGGTACGCAAATGCTCACTCGTGATATTCGATCGCAGCCACACCAAATGTACATATCGATAGAGAAAAGAGAAACGTTGCCTCTCCCTTTAACCGCATTCAAAACGACCGAGAACTCGTTCCTCCAGCCTCCATTTCTCAACGCTCAAAATCGAAGTCAAGTCCAGTAAACCAACTGGTTCAAGCACGACCATGCTGCTGAAGCCATCCCCTGTGTGTCCGCTAGCTCGCGTGACTCAGTTCAAAAGGGCGGTTCGGTATAGACGAGGGTGTTTCAGTATCGAGGGCTGGGGCGGCGTTTGGTGTTTCCAAGACTTCTCTCCATCGCCGTGCTACGGGTGCGGTGCCGGTTGATGCTCGCAAGGGAAGGCAGGCTGTTCTGCCGACTCAGGATGAATCCGGTATCGTGGAGGCGATACTTCTGCAGTCCAAACACGGCCTTTGCATGCCGGACAACGAGCTTCGCATCTTGGCGAGACGTGTAGAAATTGAGAAGCACGGAGCGATATCAGACTCGTTTCCTTCGAAGAAGTGGTCTCTTCACTTTGTCAAGCGCCATGGTGATGTGATCACTCAAAAACGCTCTCAAATTCATGATGCCAAGCGTTATGACATGTCAACTGAGTAGTGTTTGCGTGATTACCACACCAACCTGCAAGATGCAATGCAAGGTCTGCTTCCTGGACAGGTTTGGAACTGTGCTGAGACCGAATTCAGCCCTCAAGGAAGAAGGCCCACCAAGGGTATTATGCTCCAAAGGAATGAAGACCAACGTGGTTCGATCCAGTGCTCGAGAGAACGTCTCTGACACGGCGTGTGTGAGCACTGCGGGAGACCAATTACCGCCGATGTTCATTTTTCCAGGAAAACACAAACAATTGAGCTATACGGATGAGACCGACGATGAGGCTGTGTGCGCCGTTAGCGATTCTTCAAACATAAACGTTTTTTTCTGCATTAGCTGAAGTTTTTCGACGCCCACTTGACCAAACGGAATGCAGCCAAGCCTTCTCATATTGAATGGTCATTTTTCTCATGTCAACGGCCCTGTTCTTGAGTTCGCTAAGGCTAACCAGATCACGATCTTTGTCTTGCCGTCACACACGAGCCATTTCACGCAACCTCTCGACGATGCCGTTTTATCAGCCATTTCACGCAACCTCTCGACGATGCCGTTTATCAGCTCTAAAGATAAACTATGAGAAGCAACTCGAGGACTTTCCGCTGAGGCACGACCAAGCACAGCCCACCGAGCATAACCTTGCTGTGTTAGTAATGAAGGCTTCGAAGGGCGCAGTGACGATGTCAACCTGCCTCACGGCATTTCGAAGAACAGGGATCGTGCCGCTGTGCTTGGAAACGATGCTACAGCGCATTGTGGGGAAACAACCCGTCGTGACCGACCTCCCTCTTGTAAGCTACATTCGTAGTTTGCCCGATCCAGCGCCAAGACAAGAGCATCAACTAAAACGGGTAGGTATTAGCCACAACGCACTGAAAGCTACGTTTTTGGGGATGGAAACGATCTCCATGTTGGCGCCGAAGTTCCAATCTCCAAAACGAACACGGTCTTTTGTTAGTGGTGGTGTTCTCATGACACGACCGGAAATGAAAGCTGCAGTACTTGAAGCTGAGGTACAGCGCCGTCAAAAACTCGAAGAACGAGCTGCTAAAGCTTAGGAACGAATTGAGAAAAAAAGAAATGCGGGAACAAGCAGCTATACTGAAGCAGTTTGAGAAGTAGAGGAAACAACAAGAAAAGGCGAACAGGTCATCGACAAAGATCTCAGCTTCAATCAGGTCTGGATCGAGGAAAGGGGCTAAGAACAATGGCTTAAAACCCATGGAAGCACTATTGATTTGCAATCAAATTTGGCTCAGGACTACACGATGCCGGTCGCTCTGTTTTAGGTGAAGAAAGACATAGTCGAGTCCCTCATGCGTTCACAGACCTTTAAAGCGCCGCTTAGGTGCTCATTTTGCTTGTTAGATCGGGCGACATGCCCACATGATTTGCATTTGAACTATGTATACTATCACATGCTAATAAAATACGCTTCGCTTTATGACCGCTTTTTCCGGGCTTGTCCCGCCGGCAATTCACCCTCATTTTGAAAGAACGTTTTAGCTTGAATCTACACTTGTCGAAACAAAGCAAAGAATACATTACATAGTGTACGATCTCTTCTTTCCAACAAGGCATCATTCGTGATCAGGAAGATCCTATTTATTTAGCTACGATCTTTTTCATACGTCACCTTTAGTCGCTTTGTTGCATGTGCCTGGGGGATATCGCTATTAAATTGCCTCCAGAACCTCTATAATCTAATTTTGCATGGCATTATGGAAGCATTTACCGGGAGGAATCATGGCCTATGAATATTCAAAATATAAACAAGTCGGCATTTCTTAAATATTCATCGCATCCGAGAGCTTTATACCTCACGCAAACGCTCTCGCCGAGGGTCACGTAGCTAATAAGAAACAACGCGGCTTGTATGTTTAGCGTTTTTATCAAATGGCAGCGAATACTGTGCCCTGAATATGAATAGCCATTACCCCCTCCCTCTTAAAAAGAGACAAAGGAGCAACGTAAGAGCAATAATAAGGTCCAGAAACGCTGCGGTGATTAACGTTGCGGGGGCCTCTTCGCCCGGGGTGGTTCATACCCCGACATGATCGGACAATTTACTTAGTTCAAACCTGCTAGAGGAAAGCTGATGGGAACATTAGTTTCGTACACCAACATGGAGAACGCCTACGCTTGCTGAATAAGGATGGGCTTTGATTCCAGGTAAAGAAGTCAGCAAGTAGCTACCGCTTGCACATAAGACCAGCTGATGTACACACTGCGCATATTGCATCCGAGACATCAAAGTGTAATAAGCGTGAGCTTCAGCGCTGGTACATGCGCTTAGTCCGTCTCAATTACATTGCGTTGCACCGAATAATATCGCCACAAGCTGCAAGCAGCTGAGTAATCTCCTAGCCCATTCACAGACGGGTGATGGCAAATGCCGAACGTACACGGCTTTGAAGCAAAAATGCATATCGTACAAAACGACACAGACAAAGCGCACAACGAAGACTTAATAAAAGCTCATGTCAGATATGCGCTATTTGGGGTTAGCACCTACGACGGCTATCAGCATTTCCAGCTGATTCAGAGTGAAGCTACCCGCTACAACGGGGCTTCCTATGGGGCAAAGGGGGAGGCAATGGACGTAATGATCTCTCATCTACATAGGCTATTAGCACAAGGCCATCACATCAATGCTTTTTCTTCATATCAAGGGAAAGAACTTATGAACAATAAGATGAAGGCATTCCTCAGGGGGAGAGGGGTATAGTTCCAGTGGAAATTTTATTTATAGTCTGGGGAAAACGGACTCGTGGAAAAGATGAATGGGGTGTTGATGGCCCGAGTGCATAGCTTGCTGACGACCGCTCGAATGCCGTGGGTGAAGATTTCTTCGTTGCGTAGAAGTCACCAACATTAGCTCGTCAACTGCGTTTGCTGGTGAGACGCCGTACACTCGTCGGTTTGAGTAGCGTCCATGCGTAGAAAAGCTGAAGGTTTGAGGCTGTCTAATGCATGTGTGGTGTTGGAAATCCCACGTGAACTCTAGCTACAGATGTAGTTAGGATGTTCCCACAACAATACGTCTACTAGGATAGTAAACGATCGTTCGGGCGGACCTGAAGACCCCAGTTCTGCCCTTGCACCGGGACAAACTGGACCTTGTAAACTACTTATATAGGCCAGCCAGTAAAATAAGAACACGCTACTAGCACGAGCAAAGCTAGCAGGTGTCTTGTATCCTCGTGGTCCCAACAGCGGAAGGGTACCAGGCACGGGTAAGCCTTTTACGAGATCACCGAGTGTTCAACACTCGGCCAGAAGAAATAAAAGGGAGGCAATTCAAGCACTCCCAGTCGTGCAAATAGGCAACAATAAGCCGTCATGTAAAACCTCCCGATAATAATCGGCCAATACACAAAGTCTCTTGGCCTTGCCGGATGAACCCTCGCTACAGAGCTTCGAGTTCACCGACAGGCATAACACACTCAAACAAGCTTGACCTGACGCTTACCTTGAAGCCGGACGTCGCTCTGTGTGCTTGAGTGGAAATTCTGTTCTGTATTTAAGCTTACCCTTTCGGGTCTATTCCTAATAAGAAGTCCTAATCAAGTATACAAATATCAAGTGAACAATGATCCGTTATGGATCTTCTTGCATGCCAAGCGTCGTCTGCACCGTCGCATGAGCATCTTTAACGGTCCGCGCCCTGTCCCAGACGGTGAAAGTGCCTTCCAAGGGTCGCTGAGTCTTCTGCGAACTCATCCCAACCGCCACTGAGAGTTCGTACCGTAGATGGTCCGCTGAATGCGAATCCGGCCAGTCCATTATTAATAATAAGGACAGCCTGGATTCAGTGACATATGCCCGTATCCAATACTCGTTGAACGTTCGGAGGTGACGCCGTCGAGTCCCTTGCACCTTGGCGTCTCCGTACATCACCTGACCGAGGGTTCGTCGCTTGAACAACTTGGGCGGTGTCACGTCTTTGTCGACGGGTGATAATCCGCAACTACGGAGAAATCACTACACCACAACTGCCCCTGTCGCAATGGAAGCCACGGTACTGGTGCCCGTTGTGACATTTCTTCATTCTTCAATTCACCATCTCGCCACCGTATGTCCAAGCGTCTGAATCGAGCCGTGTCCGACGCTTTTCAGCGTCTCAATCCTCGTAGACGTCGCGAACGTGAACAGCTGGAGGTACGTCAGCTCATCCTTCTCTTGAATCATCGGTACCTTGCTCATCACCTCGCATTACTCGACTTGTTTCTCAGGAGGGCAAGACCGAGGGGTCGAACGCCCTTCAGTCTGCTGCACTTCCCCCGACAGCAGCGTCATCAACCGGTCCTCCGGCGCCTGCTGCCCCGGACTCTTCACTCTTTGCGGTAGCTCCTGCAGCACTCCCCGTCGTCGCTGAATCCGCGGAGATGGCTCCTGCTGATCCTCCTGTTGAAGCTGGTACCGAGGATTCGCAGGGTCCGGCTTCAGCTCCAGCTGCCGAGGCTCCGGTTCCTGATGAAGAGGAGAAGGAGAGTGGTGACTCGACTTCGTTGACACTCTTGGCCACCGCGGCCTGGCACTTGGAATCGATTTGAATCCTCGCTGCACGTTCCACGACGTTCTCCGGCATCTCAGCTAACTGTTGAGGTGTCCCGCGTGACTTCGTTTTCAGTGGTTGCTCTCCGGTCGGCATTCATGTTTTCTTATTCTTAATCCACTTCCACAGCGTAATCATGCTCATGTTGTTCTTCAAATGCATATACAATTTGTTGTTGCAGTAACGTTTTTCGTCTGTTACCACAGGCTGCATCGCCCTGTGGACAGTTCACACGTGATCCAGTCACGCTAGTCTTCGTCCGCCACTTGCGCCATCTGCAGCCGATTATCGCTCTTCTTGGCTCGCAAATAGTCGTACAGAAGACCTCCACATGACAAGTTGGATGATGGTTCCCAAGTTGGATCTTCATAGCCAACCCACTTGACTTTGAACTCGCGTACAACACGCTCCGTGCTCGTCGTTAGTGGTGTTCTGTCGTCGAGGATGACCTCGATTTCATATTCACCGGCAACTTGGTCTGGTTCCCAGCTGTCCTCAGGCAGTAGTTCCTCATCGAAGTCGAGTCTTGCTTCATTAGTCGCGTCAAGTACCAACCGAGTGTTCGGTCGACTGTTGAATATGTTGACAGCCTTGAGTCTTGACACATGCACTACTGGGTAAAAGCGATACCCACTTCGATCAGGCAGTTCCAGCTCGTACGCAAACTCTTCCACCTTGCGCTTGATCCGAAAAGGTCCATGCCATCGGTGAGCTAATTTCTTCGTCAAGCCTGGTTTGACGCGTTCCATGTACAGCCACGCCCGGCTCCCAATCTCGAAAAGAGATCTCGGTGGGGCTCTTGCAGGATCTTCCATCTCTTTCGAAGCTTCTGGAGGGTCCGCCGAGTCTTCGTTTCCACTTGGTTGAGGTACAGCAGCTTTTTCCAGTCGACTCAGAGCATCATTATGCTTTTTAGCCCTTCGCTCCTTTTCTACAGCCTGATAATCCTTGGCCATAGTGAGGGCGACCTCATGTTGTCGATTGATCTCACGCCGCCACGCCAGTGCGTCAGACTGCTTGCCGAGTCCTCGTTTGAGTGATGACGACATTGCCCGCAACGTCGACTGCGCATCCCAACCATGAACGAGGTAGAACAGCGTTTCCTTCCTCGTAGTGTCTTGAGAAGTATTAATAGCAAATACTAGCTTCTCCGCGATTTCGTCCCAATCTTGCTGTAGAGGGTCCATCGCGTACACCCGTACGGACCCCATCACTGACTTCACCGAGCGTTCCTGCTGTCCATTAGCCTGTGGCCGATAGCTCAAAGTCGCTCTTGATCTTGACTGCATCATCTCTGCGAACGCTTGGAACACCTCGCTCATGAAGCGTGGGTCGCGGTCATGCCTTATTAATGATGGGGCTCCGAACCGTCGGTACACACATTCTTCGAACACTTAGGCAACACTCAGTGCAGTCGTATCTGACATAGCCTTGGCAATAACGAACCCGTGAACGAGCACTGAAATAGGAGCAACGCCGTGTTGCCCCTACGAGATTTCG